CAAAAAATCCTACACGATGCGACGAAGATCCTGAGTGCCACAACCAAGACCTGATGCAGCCAAACAAATATTTTTAAAAAGTTTTTGTTTCATGATTTGCTTGAAATCATTTCCCGGGAAGCAAATGTCATTTCTAATGTTGCCGAGCAGACAACTTGTATAGAACAAAACAGACTTTTGTTTAATCAAATCAACTGTGTCATTAATGTGGATAAAGATTATGTTTGAAACACCCTCACCATAAGGACTTGTTGGGGCTAATACCTTTGAAGAGTCAAATCGCTCAATCATGTCCAACTCTTTACAACTCAACTCTATGCAGTCCAAGGAATTCTCCAGACCAGAATACTGGAGTGGATAGCTGTTCCCTTCTCCAAGGGATCTTCCCAACCCAGGGATCGAACCCAGGTCTCCCGCATTGCATGCAGATTCTTTACCAGCAGAGCCACCAGGGAAGCCCATACCTTTAAAAATTCTGCATTATTTATGAATTCTTCCCTAATTTCAGGTAGTTACACATTCCCTGTGAGATGAGAACTGGGGATGAAATTGTTTAAATGAGAACTAACAACCAAAAAAAGAGCACAAAACCACATTTCTTTTATTGGTATTCAAACAGATACATGATTAAGTGTGCTGGGCAATAGAATAACCTTGCCTCCTGTATTTATATTCCTAGCACATTGTTGGAAAGAAGTAAAAACCTGCCAACAATTACCCAGACCTCCCAGAAACGCTTTCAGTATGTGACAATATTTACAAAGAGCGTCTTGTTATTCCTGATAATATGAATGTTACTAAGCCCAGTTGTTGGCACTGTGTACTTTCTCCCTTGGAACAAACTTGACACTGAATGAGCTTTTCCAGCAAAATCTAGGACAGTAGCACTCGAGGAAGCCAGACTTAGTGGAGAAATTCTAATCCAAACCCCCACTGATTTTCTATCAAAGTGAAAATAACGGGGACTGAAATGCAGGTCAAGACTACGATGCAATACTAATTTAATTGGCAAAATAAACACTGACAATACCAAGAGCTGCAAAGGACAGAGATCCACAAAAAGCTCTTATTTGTTCCCAGCGGGACTATAAACCGGCACAAGTGCTCTGGAAAAGAGCTTGGCGTTCACATTCTCCACAACCCAGTGATTTCACCTGCAAGGACTCCCGCACGCATTCAAGTGTTTCTGTAGTCACCCATCAAGAGGAGAGGGCTTCCCAGGTGACTCAGTGGTAAAGAATCCACCTGCAATGCAGGAGACACAAGAGACGCGGGAACCCACTCCAGTATTCTTGCCTGGGAAATTTCACAGACACAGGAGCCTGGCAGGCTACAGTCCATGGGGTTGCAAAGAGTCAGATACTACTAACTGACTGATTACTAACTAACTACTAACACACACACTAACAAGAGGGGCACACACAGGTAAAAGGTGCACTTTCAACCCGGCTGCCACAACGCACCCAAAATCAGTCCCCCCAAATCATGTGTCGGACAAGATCCCTTTTCACAAAGTTAAAAATGGTTGAGGGACTTCCCTGCTGGTCCAGTGGCTAAGACTCCATGCTCCCAATTGCAGGGGGCCCGGATTCGATCCCTGGTCAAGGAGCTAGATCCCACATGCCAAAATTAATAGCTGGTGCAACCAAATAAATATTTCTAAATGAAATAAAACAAGATTTTTAAAAATAAAAATGGCTGAAATGAAAAACTTTTTTTTAAATCGCATATAGATGTGCGAGTGCTTAGTCGCTCAGTCGTGTCCGATGCAGCTCACCAGGCTCCTCTGGGATTTTCCCAGGCAAGAATACTGGAGTGGGTTGCCATTTCCTTCTCCAGCATATAGATGAGATAAAACTAAATTTAAAAAAAGAAAGTGGATGTTGATCAGGATTTGGAATGATAGTTATCCTGGAGAGAGGCAGGCTGGAGCATAGGATCAGGCAAGGAACACAAGAAATGTCCAAACCAGGATTTGCTCAGTTTCAAAACAAACAAACAAACAAAATTTACAGTTTTTCCAAAAGGGAAACTACCAAGAGAAGCGGTTTGGTTCCTTCCTCAGCAGCCACGTCACCCAGCACTAATGCTGACTCTACCAGGCCCCTAAGGAAAGATCATGAAAGAAATGGTAACTTTGGGGATTTCCCTGGTGGTCCAGTGTCTAAGACTGCATGCTCCCAAGGCAGGGGGCCTGGGTTCAAACCCTGGTCAGGGAACTTAGATCCTACATGCTGCAACTAAGAGTTTGCATGCTGCAACTAAAGATTCTTCATGCCACAACTAAAAAGAAAGAAAGAAAGATGATGAAAAAGGAGTTCTCTCAATCTGTTTGCAACTCACAAGCACCAGAATTTGCCTCTATTCCAGCCACACACACTTAGAGAGCCAAGGACCTGGGTGCAGATGGAGGCCCAGATAACCCACCCTGAGCTGTCAAGACTGTGAGCGGCAGGCCTGGAGGGTGCTCAGCCCCTGAGCCCAGCAGGCAGGATGGCCAGGCCTGGTCTGGAAGGCAAGATTCAGACCACAAGCAGGGACAGCAGAGTGGTGTCAAACACCTGAGGCACTGGGAGGCCTGAAGGGAAGCAAAGTGTCTTCCAGAAGGCAGAACTGGAGCACAGGGGAGAAGTGAGGTATGATTCCACCGCAGAAGGGCCTTTTCTGCACTTGGAGACTAACTCGGCTTCTATGGCACTGGAGACACGGCCTTTGGGCTGGGCACCTCGGGATACACCACCCATGAAGCTCACTATTCAGCCTCAATTTCCCTTCCTGTAAAATGGGACTGGGAACATCTGCATAGCAGGCTCATATAGGGCTAAAGGAGGGAGAAAGCTGTATAAACTTCAAGGATCGTTCATCCCACCCAAGCAACTGGAGCAACAATTTGGCCCACCTTGAAATCTAGAAATATCCACGAATCAAACTACAGAGCTGGACTGTGCAAACACACACACAAGAAAACTTGTTCCCACCCCTTCCTCTCCCCTAAAGCAGTACTTGTCCCCTCAACCTAATCAGCAAACAAGAAAAATTTTCCTTCACTACCCAGAAAATCTAGACATTTCAAGTTACCTTGAAAAGCCAACTGTCTATACATAGTTATTAATATCCTAAAAAAAGGGGGGGGGGACACTTTTGTTCTACTGATTAAAACAAAACAAAAACACATAAGGTCAGGTTTTCCACTACAACTAGGCCTTCCTGCCACGGTGGGACCCTAGACTCATAAACATTACCTTGACCCCGACTACTGACCCTCAGTAGTACCTGGGAAGACACAGATAACTCAGAAATGCTGAACTCAAGTTTGAACTGGCGTCAGTCCTCACATCTGGGCCAGGCACAGACTTTGGAGTGCAAAGGGCCCAGGTCAGACTCTCTCTCCACTGCCTACCTGGTCCAGTGGCTCTGGACAAGACACGTCCCTCTGGTAAACCTCAGGACTCCTCATTTGCACAAGAAGACAATCCCAGAACCCACCTCACAGTGTGATTTCGGAGATGAAATAAATGAACATAAGACAGAGAGTGTGGTCCACAGTCAACATGCCCTATGTGTTACGTCCTTTACCTGTAAGAAGACAGGGTGACACTTCTTTATAGCAAATCATCGATGATCTCTATCACTGCATGCGTAGGTGAATGCATACCCTACACACCAGACAGGGTAGGGAAATGGGATAAAAACATCATTTGGAAAAGGATCTCGTTTTGCTCAGTGGCCTAACTCTGAGAATACTCCGTCCTGTGATGTGTATGGTGCAGCCGAGTGGGCCGAGGGGCACCACATCACACAGCAGACGGTCGCGTGAGAAACACAGGTCAGCTTTCCCCGCTGCTGGGAATTAAAGACAGCAATCCCCACTTTGAGCGGGAACCACCGCTTAAGGTCAGTGGAGGTCCCAAATAATCTAGGGCATTACAGATTCAACTATCCTCTAGAAGCCGTGTTCCAAAAAGGTTAGGAAGGGCCACATGAATGCTCCAATGGGTAACTGGAAGAGACTGCCCAGCTGAGTAAAGTGAGCAAAGTGACCTGAGTTTCAGAAAGGCAGGACCCTCCTGTTTGCAGTGACAATGAAACTGTGCTTCTCAGACTGTGGTCCTGAGCAACATCACCTGGGAACTTGTTAGAAAAGCAACTCTCAGGCCCTCCTAGACCCTCTGCCGCAGAACCTCAGCAGGATGGCTGAGCAATGTTTCAACAAGCCCTTCAGCAAACTCCAATGCTTGCTCAGGTTGGAGAATCTATTACGGTAGAGAGTGATCTAAGATCTCAAAGTTTAAACCATCGGTCCCCAGGAGACATACCAAGGCAGCCTTCAGGATCTCTCCCCCTTTCAATCCGTTTCAGTGGAATACAGTGTTAGCTATCTCACCACTAGACTTCAATTTTGAACCCCATGCTGCTTCAAGACTAAGAAGGCCACGGTGGGACGCTTCCTTAGTCTCTGTTGAATGTGAAGATGGGCTCCTGACTATGCTGAGTCTGCCGTGCCCCCAGGCCAAGGCCGGCAAACAGCAGACACTAGGGAAAGTGGGCAACAGTCTGACTCACTGAGGAGCGGGCAGGAGCCTTTCCCACACGTGGGTCCTAAGGGCTGAACAAGGTTACTGTCCCCCTCAGCCCCTAATACAATGATTTTAGCTCCTCAACTAAAAAGCTCTTGTTTCAAGGATGTTAGGGTTTCCGACTCTGGATAGCTGCCCCAGGTCCCACAACCACCAGGGCCAGAGGGGTCCCCAGGCCCCAAATCACTCCCTCACTCCAACCTTCCTGCTCATTCCCCAGACCCAAGCTTGCCAGAGGTCCTGTCCACAGGGGGCTCCCCTGCCAGAGTTGAAGGTTGGCCAGAGGCATTATTTCTCCTGCTGGAGTGCCTGTTCCCAAACATCCTGGGCCAGTGGTCACACCCTCCAACCCTGGATGCTCTGTCACCACGATGGCAGCATCACCACCCTTCAAACTCAGCCCTCACCCTGACACCTTCATACCTGTAGTAAGACAGGAGGCCATTGCTGAGCACGAACCAGCGGCGCTGGTAGCCCTTCAGGTAGTTGGTCCACTTGAGAAGCCAGCCCTTGAAGCTGTCCAGAGGAAGTGAGACCATGGGGACAACGCACGGAGAGTTGCTCCCGGGCACTACCATCCCAAGGTGTGTCTTCACCTGCCCCGGGCGCGGGGCCTTTGATGCCGGCAACAACCCTGACTCCGGTTTGATCAGGGGCACGCTCCCCACTGCTGGCCCCAGCGCCGGCACCTGCTCAAAGGGGGCCTTGGTGGGGGGCCCAGGCCCCGGGTTTGAGCCCCACTCTTCCCGGGGCCCCAACCCGGTCCCCAGCGCCGGCAGCAGTTCCAGTTCCTGTCTGAACCCTGGCCTGGGCTCAGACATCTTCTTGGGCACAGGCTCCGATCCTGGCGCCCGCTCAGAAACTGGCTCCGACACCTGTTCTGACACCAACTCCCGATGAGGCTGGGGCACCGGCTGCGGCTGAGGCTTGGGCTCCGGTCCGGAGCCGGGCGTGGGAGCGTTCATGCTCGGCGCCGCCGTGTGGCAGGACAGGCAGGGGACAACCGTGAAGAGCGACGACAGCCCGCGGGAGCGGCCGCCGCAGCCGCCTCCTCGGCACAGGGCGGCCGCTTTCCCCATGGAGCCGGCCGACCCGAGCGCGGCCGAGCCGGGGGGAGGGGGGACGCGGGAGGCGGAGGCCCGGGGCGGGGCCGGGGGCGCCGTCACGAGCGCGCGGCGGGGGCGCGCGCGGGTCCCTCCGCGGCCCGTGCGCCCCGCACCGCCCGCACCGGCTCTCCGTGGTCCTCGCGGCGCGCAGCCGGCTGGACTTGAACCCCCGTCCTTTCCTTGAGTCGCCAGCTCCCGGCTCCCGGACTCGCCCTCGGAAGGCGCTCAGGAAACACTTGTAGGGCGAGAGCTCGGCGAACCGGCGACACAGAAGGGCCGGCGCGCTTCGGTCACCAACCCTGCCTGCGCCCCAACCCGTGCCAGGCGCTAGGGAACAATGATGAATGCGGAGCCCGCGGGCTCCCAGCGCAGCTCTGGCCGCGGCCCGGCGCCGGCTCTCCCCGCCTCCGACCCGGGGTGGGGTCGGGGGCGGGGCGGGGGTTCGCTCCACAAAACCCAGAAAATGCGCCCACAGCACAGGGGCCCAGCCGGATGACGCTAAAAGCTGAGGAGGACGCCCACCGCGCCCCCCACCCCCGCCACCCCATGGCAGCTGTTACCTGTCCAGGGGTCCCTCTCCCTGCAACCAGGCTTGGGGCCAGAGCCACCGCGCCCCCACCTACTGGGCCAGCTAGCCTCTACTTCATCCAGGGCACTTCGCTGCAAGTGGCAACAAAGTTCAGACTCTTTAAAGGAACAGAGAGAGTTTAGTGAGCCGAGCGGTGTAGTACAACAAAGACCACCTCCAAAAGAGAAGTTCCCGACTCGGAGCTCCTGGACACCCCTGCGGAATCTTGGCTGGCCTCTGTGAAGCTTAGCCTGTGGAATTTAACGTGTCTGTGCATTTTTCTAGAGAAGGCCCCTAGTTTTCATGGGCTTCCCAAAGGAGTCTGTGATCCCAGAAAGGTTAAGCACAACTGATTTTAAAGAATTTATCCCAAAGGGAAGATCATGGTTGCCACAAACAAGCGGAAATACAGCTTGATAGGTTGGGTATTGGGCTTCCGCCCATACTCCTCCAGACCAGACCTCTGTGCAGGCTCGCTTCTGTTGGTCCTTACACGCCCCTCACTGTCCATTTCTGATCTTGTGACAAAACCACCTGTGCAGGGACCAGCCCCTACTCAATGTGATGGCAGAAGTTGAGCAGACTGGAAGGTCCTAGAAACGGAGGATGCAGACATGCACCCGAACATAAGTCCTACCATCTGTGCTGGTGCCTCTGAGAGCCCTTCCGGGCTGATGGCCTTGCTGCAGGTTTTTGTGAGCTCTAGGGTGCAGAGCCCTACCCATCTTGGTATATCCCACAAATACTAAGATGGGCCTCAAACTTCAATGTGCTGAGTCAAAGAAAAGTGATTGCCTCTTGGGGACTGTGGGTAGAGGAGTGTGCAGGCAGGGAAGGCAGTGGGGGGCTCTCTGCATTTACACCATTTTGAATATTGACTATTTCAAATAATTCAAAATATATGAATATTTTAACCAAGTGTCTGTTTCACCTGTTCAAAAATGATGTTGCATATCTCTCCAGGGAAGCTTACTATAAATCCGGTTTTCCATCCCCATCTCCCTGGGACTCTGAGTCAGTAGGTCTGAGGTAGAATTCAGAAGCATGAATTTTAGTTTTTAGCTATTTATTTTTGAACTCACCACGCAGTATGCAGGATCTTAGGACCCCAACCAGGGATTGAACGCATGCCCCTGGCAGTGGACATGGGAGTCTCAACCACTGGGCCACCAGGGAAGTGCCTGGGAGCACACATTTTAATGAGTTCCCCAGGGGTTTCTGAGTGGGTGAATCTTGGACCACATTTGTTTTAAACATTTTTTTTTAATGTGACCTATTTTTAAAGTCTTTATTGAATTTGTTACAATATTGCTTCTGTTTCATGTTTTGTTTTTTTTGACCACCAGGCATGTGGGCTCTTAGCTGACAGACCGGGAACCAAGTCCACACCTCCTGCATTGGAAGGTGAACTCTTAACCACTGGACCACCAGGGAAGTTCCCATCATGGACCACATCTTGATGGGCAGTGATGTGGAGGGAAAATCTTGGGCTTTGGGAGTCAGAGCCACTGAAGAAATCCCAGCCCAACCACTCTCATAGCCGTGGGACCTTCAACCACTTCACTGAGCTTCCTCTTACTCATCGGTGAAATGAAAATGAGGAAAATAATCCCTGCCTCACAGGTTGACAGTAATAAAATCATGTATGTAAAGCTCATTTAACATAGTAGTTCAGTTCAGTTGCTCAGTCATATCCGACTCTTTTCGTCCCCATGGACTGCAGCACACCAGGCCTCCCTGTCTATCACCAGCTCCCAGAGTTTACTCACACTCATGTCCATTGAGTCGGTGATGCCATGTAACCACCTCATTCTCTGTCGTCCCCTTCTCCTCCCTCCTTCAATCTTTCCCAGCATCAGGGTCTTTTCAAACGAGTCAGCTCTTCGCATGAGGTGGCCAAAGTATTGGAGTTTCAGCTTCAGCATCAGTCCTTCCAATGAATATTCAGGACTGATATCCTTTAGGATGGACTCGTTGGATATCCTTGCTGTCCAAGGGACTCTCAAGAGTCTTCCCCAACACCACATGCTCAGTAAATATTCTCTATTTAACTAAAGAGGGTTCTCTGAAATGTTTGGCCGGTGAAGTCTGATGAACACCATGCTTTTCGTGCCACAAAATTTAAGCATCTTGGGCTGGGGTGTGCAAGCTCCATGTCTCCACAGCTTCCACTGCTGCCTACGGTCCTAAAGCCATGTGCACTGGCCGCCCTGGCCCCTAAAGATATGCAAGTTTGTGATCGCCCCAAGGGATTAGAACATGAGTTCCTTTAAAATACTTAACTAATTTCTTCAACTTTGAGATCGTAATGCTTGCACTGTACAGAACTGAAGTAAACACATACTGTGAAAGAAGAACTCCCCTCTTCCTCTCCTCTGGGGCTACCATATTGATAGTTTCTTTTTTAAAAATATATATGTTTGGTCATTTGCACTTTTATTTGTTTGGCTACATCCTTCACCTAGTTTTTGATTGAGGTGTTTCTCTTTTTCTTTTTTTGGCTGTGCCACATGGCCTGTGGGATCTTTAGTTCCCAGATCAGGGATAGAACTCATACCCCCTGCAGCGGAAGTGTGGAGTCTTAACCCCTGAACCTCAGGAAGTTCCAAGTGTTGATAGTTTCTACGTATCTCTCCAGAAGAGAACAGGTTCTTAAGATGAAATGTACAGTTTTCATAAATTACATGTAAATTTTAAATGTAACTTCCAATTTGTGGTAGGTTTCATTATAATCTTAAAGGGGTCCATGATCCCTTCACATGGAGAACCACTGACACTGAGACTTTTAGCTCAGGGTATTTAGTAAGAACCCATGTTTGCCTCCTGTCTTTATCGAGACCCAAAGAGACCCCACTGAAACAAAAGTGGGAAAGACTGCCAAAGTACTAAGTGTTTACCAACAAACAGAACTAGAAAGAAGACTTTAACAAACGTTCATTGAATTCATATCATACGCCAAGTCTTCTAGGCCCTGATGATGGAGCATTGCAAGAAACTTGACGGGGACTTCCCTGGTGGTCTAATGGTTAAGATTCTGACCTTCCAATGCAGGGGCACAGGTTCGATCCCTGGTCAGGGAACCAAGACCCTACATGCCATGCGGGAGGGCCAAAAAACAAAAATAAATAAAATAAGAGTAATAAAATATTTTAAAAAAAAGAACTCTGACAAAAACCCTTGTCATTCTGGAGCTTACATTCTAATAAAAGGAGACAGAAATATGCCAATTAGATCATTTAGAGGGTGACAGATGCCATGTGGCAAAAGAGAACAGTTAAGAAGGCTTGGTAAGGCCATGTTACAATTTTAAAAATGGATCACTAAGGAAATGCCCTGGGGGTCCAATAGTTAGGACTCAGCGTTTCCACTGCAGGGGGCCATGAGTTCGATTCCTGGTCAGGGAATGAAGATCTCACATTGCATGACCAGAAAGAAAGAAAGGTCACTGATGAATGAGAGATTTCAACAAATGCTTGGAACATGGAAAGAGGATGCGAGCTCTTATGAGGGCAACAGGTGGAAGCAGCAGCTGAGAACTTTCTCTCAGCCAGCTAAAAGGGAAGTGGGAGCCAGCTGACTTGACAGAACCCAGGGAGGCTTCGGGCTCAAAGTCAACAGGTTACGGTGGAGGGTGGGAGCGAGATCAGTGAAGTGAAATGGGGGATTTTATTCCCGACTCAGTGAATATGAGTTTGAGCAAACTCCAGGAGACAGTGAAGAACAGGGAAGCCTGGCATGCTACAGTCCACGGGGTCACAAAGAGTTGGACAGACCTGAGTGACTGAACAACAAATTCCTCAAACTAGTTTGTGAGCTCACAGGCGTTTTCTGTTGATATTATTTGTATGCCGTACACATATTTTCCAGTATCCTTTTGTATCTGCTCAGTTTATAATAAACATAGACTCACATACAACCTTGAGCAGGGGTTGGGGAATAACCGCTCCAACCCACTGCCCTACCCCACTCTACACTGAAGGTTGCAAAGTGAAGGTAATACTTCTCCCAGGCAGAAAACAATATGTCTCTTCTCTAAAGAAACTGAATGAAACATCAGAGGTCAGCAAGGGCTGGAGGAGTGGATGTCGGCATCACAGAACAGAGCCCTCCTGACTCTGCTATTTCTGATTCTGCCCCACGCAAAGCTTCCAGTCAGATATTCTCATTCGGCAAAGGGACCAGAGGTAAGCTAGACCTAACTGCATAATGGCAGAGGAAACATACACTGGCTTGATTATACAGGGCACTTGCTAAGGGACATAAAGCTGAGAAAGCAGCTGACTTGGGATTTGAACTGAAGCCTTCCTTCCAAATCTGTGCTCTTAGCTACATGCTGTCCTGCCTCCCTCTTAGCTGTACATCTCTTTTCCTGGGTAAATGGGACACAAACCAGCATATATACCTT